TTTTCATTAAGCACTTTCGCCAATATGTTCTTTTAGAAAAAAAAATGCAATATATTCCCCAAAAAGTTATCCATCAAAATAGCCATATGTCTTAAAATATTAGTTAGAGTTGGAGGAAAAGTAACCCAACGATTAATCTTCTTTTCTTTAATCATAGAGTGTCGTAATAAAGAGCAAGAGGGATATTTTGTGAACTAAAGATTTAGCCGTTAGGAATTTAGGGCGAGCTTCGAATATTTGAATTTGCTTAAGCATTTTGTTGTCTTCTTTCTACATACATAAATTTGATTAGTTGAACCTTTTCAAATTTTGTTCTATTTAATTAGTGTATACAACATAGCACTTTGGATGGACCATTACTTTACATTTTTCGGAGTTTGGTTGATTAGAGAGCGTAGTTATAAAGTAAGAGGGAGATTATGTGAACTAAGATTTAAGTAGCTAGGAATTCAAGACGAGCTTAATATTTGGATTTGCTTAAGCATTTTGTTGCCTTCTTGTTTCATATAAAAATTTGATTGTTTGAACCTTTTCAAATTTTGTTTTGTTTACTTAGTGTATACAACATAGTAATTTGAATGGGCCATTATTTTACATTTCTTGGGTTTCCGTGTTTTATTTACCTGCAATCCTATACTGACGTCATTAGTTTTTTTTGTTGTTGAACAATAATCCCAATTGGGCTTCTTGTTTGTTAAGTAGTTATTGTGTTTACCATTATTGTTGTTGTTTTATTATAGCGTACGGTCTGTATAGAGCCTAGGCTCTAAACAATCAAATTAGAGTCTGTTTTCAAATAGTATTGAGAAATGTGGTGTTACTATTGAAATTTTTTGTGATAGCTTTAAAATATATTTTTATATTTATTAATAAATTTTAACACTTTAAAAATAGTATAGATCGACAGATCTATGAGAACTTGAAAATCTTGAAAATTGACGGTCCAAAAATGTGTCAGAATATACACTATTTCCAAAACTTGAAATCTATTTTTCTCATGTCCATGCATATTAATGTCAAGATGATTAATTTGAAGATATTCGAGCATCAAAACGACCTCTTCTAATGAAATTTTTGAGGTAGGCTCAAATTTGATTTTTTAGAGCCTCGGCTCTATATAAACTTTTCCCTTTATTTAATGATCCCAATAAATGTATCATATATGTAATATCTTCACAACAGAGTAAGCATTTTGTTGTTGTATTAACGGAGTAAGCATTTTGTTGTTGTATTTATGGAATGTTTAGACAAAAATTCATTAAGTATGATTCTAATGATATTAGGTAAGTACATAAAAATTATAGCTCAATGGTTTAATATATCCATACATCATATTCTTGTAGTCTTTTGTCGATTTTTTACTCTGTTTTTGCGAGCCAAATCCAAAATATTCACGATTATCTAAATTACCTAATATTTGGTGATCTATATTTTTTAAGTTTTTTTTTTTTTTTGCTTCTAACTTTTTAGAGTAAAACCGATTTATTACTTGTATTTTGGTTTTCCAATATATTGTTATTCTCCGACTTGATAACTATGATCTCAACTACTATGGAATTACGAATTTGGAATTTTTTATTTTTTAAAAATAAAAATCATAGTTTCTAAAGAAAAAGTTTACATAAGGTTGTAAGTTTATAATGTAGAATTAAGGTGCACTTCAAAAATCCATTGGAAAAGGTTGTTTTGATGCTGGAAAACCTTCTAATTGATTATCTCGACATCAAGATATATAAATATGAGAAAAAAAAAAAGAAGATTATTTCAAATCCCAAAAATAGTGCATCGTGCAACATATTATCTAGAATATGCATTATAAGATTTTCGTGTGTTTATAGATCTACTTGATTTGAACTATTTTGGATTTTTAATTTTTATTACTAGTGATGAAAACAGATTCTCAGTCCATTCTAAGAGTTTTTTACACCAAAATTAGATCCTATAATAAATTTGGAGGTGCACCTTTTTTTTATTGTTTAATGTTGCAACCTTATGCAAATGATACATTTTTTTTAATGGGAAACTATAGAATGAGACCATTTACCTTTGATACAAGGTGGTCACATTAATCTTAACCATTGGATGTCAAATTTGGTAGATGTGCAATTATTACATTGACCAAGCTCAAACTGCAAAAAAAAAAAATTTGAACTTTATGACACATCCAAACTATCAAATTTCATATCAAACGGTTATAAGAAATTGTGAGCATCTTGTATTAAAAGTAAATAATCTCATTGTATACAATCCCTTTTTTATTATATTTTTCGACCGGCAATTTTTAAGTAGAGTGGAAGTACCAGTTTTTACGTCCGTCACTAATATGGATGGGTAATGGATGAGGAGATTCACATGTTTTACCTGAGCTGTGTCCATTATTTAGGTAAGGTTGCAATCTTAAGCAATCAAATATCATAAGATGCAATTGGAGTGTCAAAATTTGTTAGGAAGGTCTAAAAATCTATTTTCATGTCTAATTATAAAATTTTAAACTCTAAATAATAAATGCAAGATGCTCTACTTTTTGAGAATTGAAATCTTTTTTTTTCTATTTGAGATCTATACATCTCGATGTCGAGATAATCAATTTGATGATTTTTCAATGCAAAAACAACATTTTCTTATAAATTTTTTATATACACCTTAATTCTACGATTTAAAATGCCAACCTTATATAAACCTTTCATATATAGTTCTCTGTTTTTTGACATTCAGTCATTGAAATCCATCGACTTAAGAAGTGAGTCAAAGAAAGTCGTGGATACGGATGCTTCAATAATTAAATTGAAGTTGGGCCTATTGATTATTGGGTTGGTTGATTCAGCGATTCGCGCCTCCGCTTTTGTCCGACTAAGGAGCGTCCAAATACTGTTGCCAAAAGACTATATAGTCATGCGGGAACACATTGAATATTTACTCCCTCGGAGTAACTACAGAGCCTTGGGTTAACTTCCTCAACTTGGTGACTAAAACAGTGGGCTTAAAAATAATATTGAGTTAGTGTAGATTGTCAAATTTTCTTCAGCAAGATCTAAATATTGAAGAATTAAAAAATCCGTTCTTTTTGTTATGAAAATATTCATCTTATGATTATGAGAAGCCCAAATTTTCAAACCGGAAAAAACCCCCCTAGGTCCTTAGGAGTAGAAAATAGTTAGGTGCTCCCTCAAGAGATACTATACACACTCAATATATC